CTATAAATCAAGAAGTAACTCGATTATAAGTAGTTTTTGGTTTAAAAATACTTCATGCAATATATTGCAATACATATCTCAATACATGCTTTCGCATCGCAATATATCGCAATATGAAAATTCTCTGCAATACTCACCCCTATTGGTCTTCGAAGAATTTCCAACAAAACCGTCAGAAATCATCTGAGAGAAGAGATTAGAGCATTTCAACCCAAAGTTGGACCTGTCCTGACACGACTACACGTGATCGACGTGTCCAATGGTGCAACAGAGTACAGACATGGACTCCTCCGACAAAACCGTCAGAAATCATCTGAGAGAAGAGATTAGAGCATTTCAACCAAAAGTTGGACCTGTCCTGACACGACTACACGTGATCGACGTGTCCAATGGTGCAACAGAGTACAGGCACGGAACCCGGGGAACTGGCGACGCGTTTGGTTCAGCGATGAATCGCGTTTCCTCCTGCAACGACGTGATGGGAGACATCGTGTCTATCGACGTCGACACGAACGATTTTCGCCGATCTGCGTTCGACAGGCGGACAGATTTGGTGTAGAAGCGTCATGGTGTGGGGAGTTTTGTCCTACACGGGTAGATCAGAGCTGGTGGTGTTTCAAGGCAATCTTACAGCAAATCGTGCGACCTCACCTCCTTCCACTTTTTAACCACCAGAGGGAGCTGTTTCAACACGACAACGCTACTCCACACCGCTCGTGTAACAGGTGCCTCTCTCGCTAATGCAAACGTCAATGTCCATCCCTGGTCTTCCAAATCGGCTGATCAGATCCCGTTCGAGCATCTAAGGGACGAACGTGATCGACGCGTCCGTAAACATCACCATCGTCCTCAGACACTTGCCGAAGATGCCAACGCGTTGCAGGAGGTATGGCGAAGAATTCCCCAAGCAAAAATCCATCTTATGCAATCCCTTTCAAAGCGATGTCGAGCAGTGACGGCTGCAAGGGGTGGTGTCACCAGGTACTGACCTGGGCCTAGATTTTCGAAGCTCTCTTAGCGCTAAGATAGTCGTAAGTTAATGTTAAAGAACAAATAAACTTTGCTTTTTTTTTTACTCTTTTAACCATTACATATGAAAGATTTGTGGTTAGTCTTATGCGGAACACCAAATTCGTTCTTAAAAAACGTGTGGTTAATTAATACCGAGCGATCAAAAGTTGCCAAAAAGTCGCCTGCTTCACTCTCGCCCGCCAACGAAACCACAGACAGGTTACGTAACTTTGTCGCCAGAGCACTGCAGTGACGTCATATGAGGAACGATTTTCAGTTAGTTGTATATAAAGTGTGTAGCACGCTCATCATTTTGATGATTTCTCGCCACATTAACGACGACATGCCGAATCGTTGCGTTGTCGTCAATTGCTCCTAGGGGTCGGGCGATGGTGTCCCCATGCACAGATTTCCACAGGACCCCGCAGTTCGTGCTAAATGGGTTATGTTTGTGAGTGAGCGAGCGTTGTGGAAGCCTGAAACGATATCTTACTTGTGTTCAGATCGCTTCACGGAAGTTAAAGAATCTAAACTACTTACAAGTTGTAGTAAAATATGTATATGATTGATGACCATAAAGATATTCCACGACACAACTTGTAACATAACGATTTCTTCCTCGGAAGCGAGGTTGTGGTCGAAGATACAATAATACTGTAAGTAGTATTACATTGACACCCACCTCGCTTCCACGAGAGAAATTGTTATGTTATACGCTATGTCATGCAAAATCCTATTGGCCATCAATCCAATACATAATTTACTACCAGTAGAAAGTAATTTCTTTGAGAGGCATTTTAGAAGTTGTGAAGATGAAGGAAAACTGATTTGTATGGATAGACAACTTCTTTATTGCAATGAGTGCGACGTTTCGGTGTAGGTACTAACACCGTTATCAAGCAAGTGATACAACAACTGAAGCAAGGAGAATATATACATAGCTGTATAGTGAGTATATACAATTAACAAGGTTGATGTACATTGGATATTTGATAAGTGATTACAGCAGAGGAGGTGCTAGACAGAGTGATTGATTGTAATTAGAGTTGAGTTTATACAATTGATGAGTTGACGTACAAGGGTTGTGATTACAAGCACAAAGGAGGGAGCATGGAAGCCAGATGGACAACGGAGGTAGGGAAGGATTACTGGTGGTGGTGTTTGATTAGGTGGTGATAGGCTGACGAGATGAAATAACCTTGATCTCGATTCATGGTGGGGTTGTGGCGTTGGATGTTTATGGCTTCTAGGAGTTTCCTAATTTTGTAGTCTTGTTTGCCAATTTGCCAATGTGATTCATAATTCCCACACACGCCCTAGTGTATGTTGTCTGTTTCATTACACCTCACGGCGAAAACAATGATTCTGTTGAATGCTACGACAAATGAATAAAAACAAAACGCAAATATTAAAATTAAAAACAGATTAAAGTTATAGGAGCAATGTCAGGCTATTACCTTGTTCGAGGAATGTATCCATCAATATCCACAAAAACGAGTGATATGCCATTCACCTGCAGCTCTTCCAAGTGATGTGTCTTTTAACAGTCTAATATACGAAAAAGTGATATATCGTTTCAGGTATTTCACATTGGTGTATAGTAACATTGGTTACCCAAGATAGCACACCTGGCAACTAATTGCAGAATGTCCGCCATTATTTAAAAAATGTAATTTAGTTAGCCATTAATGATCAATCAATCAATGTATTGGCGGTTAATCCTTTGAAAGAAGGACGTTGTTTTTACGCAGACACAGACACGACAGAGTGTATTCAGTATAGATTAGTAAATCTACATACATAAACACTACCTTTTGACTAATCCGCTGTGCAAGATAAAAGTAATTAATCAGTCAGCGTGTTATCGGTTAATCCTTTGATCGATGTTTATAATGTTGAGTATTTACTCCAGACACAAGAAATGCCAAATGGGAACCTTTGTGGGGTAATCTAAGTGTGTTACCACTAATTATACCTGTTTTAAATTCATTAACTGACCATCAAGTGAATGATGACAAATAACATGTGTAGGTTTATACCACCTAACACGGGTTACAGCAAGGGAGTATTAATTGCTGTATTGCATGCAATTTTAATTGCGAAAACTTATGGGCGACACCGAACAGAACTTCATTGTTGCATAAGAAATACATACAGTGAAGCCCCGTTAGTCCGGACTCCGATAATCCGGAAGTCTCGCCTCCCGGACGATTTCAGCTTGTTACCAATCTATGCCTATATAATTTGCCTCGATAATCCGGAAATTCGGTTTCCGGAACCGGACGGTAAGTAGCTGTCACCAATCAGTAAAATAAACAGTAAATTGCTTCACCGTCCGGACGCTGTTAATTCGTGTTCACGAACTGTAACAACACTTCCCGGCGATGTTTACTTAACTGGCCTCAAACAATATACACTCGGTGTCATGGAGTTGACAAGATGAACTCTTGTTAACTTTTGAGACATGCCAGTTAACGGTTGTTGTTTTAATTACACATAAAAGCTCCCGACTGAAGCTGTACATTTAGAGTTTGATTGACACCTGTCTGCAAACATGGCGAGTCAACCTGCTAAAAGAAAACGAAATGAGATTACTAGAAGCATTTGCTGTGTGCTAAAACTGTACGTACCTATTTACCTAAGTAAATTTTCAGATTCTTCTAGCAATGGCAAAGTAGGGTTGTTTAGTTTACGGATTCAAATAAATCAAATGTCAATTTTTAATATCATACGTAATAGACGGCATATATACATATTTTTACATGACATGATTACATATCGAGGTAAAAAAACACAGAAATGGGATCAATTTGGATCAGTCATTATACCATCCAGGCATTATAAAGCCTGAAAAAGCCCACACTGCTTTGATACTTTATTACAATCAGACAAGAACTACCGGGGATATTTTCAAATAACTGCATCTGATGGGCATCCACCCTTCTTAATGTCGCACTGTTTAGGTTGAAGAAATTAACCGTACCCGTGATGAGCGAGGCTGATCACCGTTTTCGCTATCACTTGCGTCTGGCTCGAACGAATAAGTGCGTCTATGAAAACAAGTTGTAACTCGGAAACTAGGCAAAGCAGGAGACAAAAATAAATGACAGTAGATTGTGAGAACATATAGCTTTCATTTTTCACAACAGTTGTCACGATTTCAGGTTTATACAAACCTGTAAACAAGATAATTTACCCCCTAAAATGTAGATGAATTCTGCATCGGCCCTCATAGCTATTCCTCAAATGACGTCACAGAGACGCGCCGCTCTGATTGGTTGAAATTTCGTTCGCGGGTGAGAATTGTGCACTGTTGTCCAAAAGGTCGATTTAAGTCAATTAAAGATCGAAATGAGTATTTTTAATGACGGGTGTTCATTTATAACGATGCCATTTAGTGAATTATGTCTTTGTAACCCCCTAGAGTATATGTGATCTTTAATGTATGGCACTTACGACTATCTTAGCGCTAAGAGAGCTTCGAACATCCAGGCCCTGAACTCCCCCTTGTGTCCACATATGTTCACAATACACATGTTCACCTCTATGCCGAATCTCCTTCATCTATGTTCAAGCTTAATCGACTTATGTAATAATAATAATAATAATAGTGAATTTATATAGCGCATTAATCCATGCTCAATGCATGCTCTAAGCGCACATATATGTGGGTATTAAGAGTCATTCTAGAAAGGCACTATTAAATAAGTAGGTCTTTAGCTCAGATTGGAAGGAGGCAAGAGATGAAGACTGTCTGAGATTGACTGGGAGATCGTTCCATTCCTTTGCTCCACTGAAAGCAAAGGAACGTTTTCCATAGTTCACAGATTTGACAGATGAACTTGCAACAGGAGCTTGTTTTCTGACCGCAGTGATCGAGCTGGTTTTTACTCTGTGATCAAATCACACAGATATTGTGGAGCATCTTCAGACAGGCATCGATACACATGACACAAGATCTTATAGCTGATTCTCTGTCGGATGGGCAGTCAGTGTAGGTCATGTAAGATGGGGATGATATTGTCGTACTTCCTGCAGCTGGAGACTATCCGAGCAGCTGTATTCTGGATGTGCTGTAGTTTGTTGGTAACAGACTTGGGTGCACCGGCAAGGAGGATGTTACAGTAATCAATCCTAGATGTTACCAGGGTGAGAATCAGGATGATAAGAGATTCTTTGGTCAGGTACTTTCTGATCTTGCTGATATTCCTCAGCTGGAAAGAGCAAACTCGGGAGATTTGGCTGACATGTTGCTTCATGGACAGTTCTGAGTCCAAAACAACACCCAAGTTCTTCACAGAACGAATGACATCAATACTTGAGCTTCCGATCTGAACTACGGTGAGACCTGACTGAGTACATCTTGCAGATGGGCCTATTAGCATGCACTCCGTCTTGTCGTCGTTAAGCTTGAGTTTATTGATGTTCATCCATTCTTTTATCTGTGTACAGCAGTTGGTAACATCGGCAGAGGCTGCTTCTGTTATGGATGCTATTGGTCGAAATATTTTCATGAGCTGCGTATCATCAGCGTAGATGATACGCATCTCAGACTTGGCAGCTTGTGCTGGTCGATGACTTGACCCAATTCCTTGGTATAAAGAGTGAATAATATCGGGCCCAATACTGAACCTTGAGGCACACCGCAGTTTAGATGTACTGAATCTGAGAACTGTCCATCAATGTACACATAAATACGTTAAATACTAGGGTGGGTATTGCAGAGAATTTTCATGTTGACATACTAGTATATTGGCACCGCTCGAACGGCCGAAAGCTATGAATACACAACGTCATTTAGAAAGTGGTCAAATGTAACGCACGTTATTTTTCGGATGACACTTTCTCAGTAAGGTACAGATTCTAATACTTTTGTGGCGTCCCATCCGGGTCTATTCTCCCGTCCATTGACTTGTTACATTGAGGTGACTATTACCATAATTATCATCATTGCTATAATCACTATAAACATTGCTTTGGTATCTTACTGCCTTTACATTTGCACAAATCTGTGTTGTGCTGTCCCTGCTATACCCTTGAAGTGACTTGTTTTTACTTGTAAACTTAGTCAATTTTAGAATTTATTGTTAAATGCATCCCATCTAGTTTGTTGGTTTCACTCCGAATTCTTTTCCTGGTTAAGTTGGGGGGTCAACACGTAAACACGTACCAAACAGACAGACAGTATTTATTCAGTAAAGAGGCCCTCGCCCATAACACAATCAGACTGACATTGTGTTTAGTAGGTGCTCAAAACAACTTTGCACCTCTACATCCTGGAGTTTATCTATTTCTGCACATGATATAAGTATAGGCCAACACTGTATATAACATCATCATTTTTGTTTTGCAAAGGATTTACAAACGAGTAATAAGTATGTGGTTCTTTAGTGAAATTGGTTATATATTTAGATCTAAGTTTATCACAGACATTACAAATAAATAGTACTTGATATATTTTCCATATAATGCTGACCTCTGGTTTTCAAGGGGCGGTGGGGTAGCCTAGTGGTTAAAGCGTTGTCTCGTCACGCCGAAGACCCGGGTTCGATTCCCCACATGGGCACAATGTGTGAAGCCCATTTCTGGTGTCCCCCGCCGTGTCAATATTGCGAAGCGGCGCAGTCAGTCAGTCAGTCAGTCTGGTTTTCAAAAAGAGCATAGTCTTTGGTCATGCCTGACTGCCTGTCAGTATCGAACAGGCAGTAATATAATAAAGTAATACATTATTTGTGTGATATTTCATTTACGAAAGAAAGGAAAGGACTGTATTCATGAATACAATCTCGTTTGGGCCATATATTCTCCCGTTAATCAGTTTTATATTCAATACGAGCCAGCTTGTAACTAAACCATTACAGAAAACCCGTTCACCAATTTGTTCGTAAACGTGTTTCTCGTCATACACAAAACGGGACTTTGTTAAACAGGTCGACTCAGAAGCAAACCTTGCGTGACACCATTCTAGTATCTAATTACAGACATACACACACTGGTAATTTCTTTCTGTTATCTAGATTGAGTTTCAATACAATTCCACCATCGCAGCACTGGGAATGGATTAAGAACTTGTAAGCGTTGGCGTCTGATTAGAGTTGCTTTGTATCTCCCTTCATCACACTACGCAATTCTTCATCATAATCGACACACACTACACAAAGTCGTAGGGTTAAGTAACAAACATTTATACAGAAGAGTAGGAGATATGCCAGAGTGAGTGAGTGAGTGAGTTTAGTTTTACGCCGCACTCAGCAATATTCAAGCTATATGGAGGCAGTCTGTACATAACTGAGTCTGCTGACCTTACCTTACTCAAGTCGACTTTGTGATTCACATCCACAAAGAAATATATCAACGTTAACTGACTGACTGACTGAGTTTAGTTTTACGCCGCTTTTAGCAGTTTTCCAGCAATATCACGGCGGGGGACACCAGAAATGGGCTTAACACATTGTGCCCATGTGGGGAATCGAACCCGGGTCTTCGGCGTGAATATCAACGTTAACAACAAGTTTTATCTAAAGTGTGTCTTCATTGGCAAGCATCTTTTACTAATGTTGCTTTTGATTGGAATAGGATTTTTATGACTTACAGAAATGTTTTGAAAGTATTTCCATGGTATTATCTATACTAAAAAAGAACTATATAAAATGAAACTAGTTGACAAGTTTAGTTTCAGTTTCTCTAATGAGCTGAATGAGAGTATTTGTCATGTTGATTGGGAATGTAGAGAAACACAAACATTCTGGAATGAACTTGATGTTTGAATGTATAATCATATTGAAAACACAAGTAAAATAACAAAATACCTTGTTTGGTTTGAAAAATTATAGATTGACAGATCATTGAATCATATTATCTTATCTGCTAAAAATATATCCATTTATGTGGGATTAAACAACATGCTCCAAAACGTCAAAGGTTTTTGGTTATTTTGAGAGAAATTATCAATGTTGAAAAATTCATTGCAATTAAAAATAACATCCTGCATAATCATGAATAATAAACGTAGACTAAACGTTTTGTCTAAATGTCTTACTACCGAATTAGGTTCCCACTGTTAAATTGTAACAAGATATGAACCTTGAGAGCACACAACATTTTACGTTTTCTCAGTCATTTTTGAAAATTTGTACTGTGTGAGTGAGTTTAGTTTTACGCCGCTTCTAGCAATATTCCAGTAATATCACGGAGAGGGACACCAGAAATGGGCTTCACACAATGTACCTATGTGGGGAAACGAACCCGGGTCTTCAGCGTCACAAGTGGGCGCTTTAACCATTGGGCTACCCCACCGCCCCCATTTGCCCTGAACCTCTGAAGACAGATTTGTACCTGTATTTGTACCTGATTTGTCACAACGTTTTGTAACGAAACTCATATGGACCAAGTACTGAAGTTTTCCCGTACGTTTATTGTGTGGGATAATGGTGTACAAAGTCTTAAAAAATCCAATGAGCCTTTTCTGACACTGTGACAAATCTAGCGGATGTTTAGGGTCTGTTTCCACTTATCCATTCCGCTTGTCTCAAATACTATCTGTAAATATGAATAAATTGTTTTATTTGATTGTATTCAAGATTATGGTTATCTGTGAGGCAGGTTGTGTTGTGTATTTGATGGACGAACCAATATATCGCTTTTAATGCGGACTTTCAAGGAACTTTAGAATTCTCTTCAAAAGAAGAATTGGTGTTGCTTCCGGTTTTAAGGTTTTACGTCTGGAGTACTGATCCATGGTTTTGGCAGATTACTTACCTTATGTGTTGCATTATTTGACAAGATACTTACACCAATCAATCAACTATAGTGACGTTAACATGTAATGGTTATATTATTTGAGGCCTTTTTTACCTGTTTTGGTCTCTCTTGTTTGACAACGCTATAAGAATCTATACCGAAATGTCGCATCATATATCATAAACAAGTTGTTATCCATAAAGTATCTTGCTTTTTTGCTTGGTCTCTTGTGTATTAAACGACATAATTAATTAATTAAGGTCGACTTTATCTACCGTGGACTTGTTTGTTGTTTGAGGCCACAATCAGGAATATTCAAGCTGTGTGACGACCGAGTCTGAAACTAGACTCGAGTCTATACACATAGTAGCGAACCATCCATTAACCATACTTTATTGACATGAATTTGTAGCCAGGGATCCCTGTATGTCATGAACTGATGGAGACGAATGCAGTTATGTTATGTACTTATGAAAACGAATACGGATTTTATTATAATAGAAACAAATACGGGCTATATCAGATATTGATAGAAACCAATACGGGTTACATTATATATTGGTGACAACAGATATGGATTATATTATATTGATGGAAACGAATACAGATGATATTATACATTGATGGAAACAAATACGGGCTATATTATACATTGATGGAAACAAATACGGGCTATATTATACATTGATGGAAACAAATACGGGTTTTATAATATATTGATGGAAACGAATGCAGATAATATTATACATTGATGGAAACGATTACGGGTTTTATCATATATTGATGGAAACGATTACGGGTTTTATCATATATTGATGGAAACGAATGCAGATGATATTATACATTGATGGAAACAAATACGGGCTATATTATATATTGATGAAACAAATACAGATGTTATTTTATATTGGTGGAAACAAATATGGATTATATGATATATTAATGGAAACGAATACATATTTTATTATATGTTGATGGAAACAAATACGGGTAATATTATATACTCATGGAAACGAATAAGGGAACACATGAAAATACAGGTTCTCTATTTTTTTCCAGGTTTCTTCACAAGGTATGTATTGCACTGTGGGTGAAATGCTCTCACGTATTCCTTTATTCGTTTCCATGAGTATATATTGATGGAAACGAATACGGGTTTTATCATATATTGATGGAAACGAATACGGGTTTTATCATTTATTGATGGAAACGAATACAGATGTTTTATATATTATTGATGGAAACAAATACTATATTATATATTGATGGGGGATAATATTATACTATATTATATATTGATGGAAACAAAAAGACGGGCTATATTATATGTTGATGGAAACAAATACCGGCTATATTATATATTGATGGAAACAAATACCGGCTATATTATATATTGATGGTTACAAATACCGGCTATATTATATATTGATGGAAACAAATACCGGCTATATTATATGTTGATGGAAACAAATACGGGCTATATTATATATTGATGGAAACGAATACGGGTTTTATCATATATTGATGGAAACGAATACGGGTTTTATCATATATTGATGGAAACGAATACGGGTTTTATCATATATTGATGGAAACGAATAGAGATGATATTATACATTGATGGAAACAAAGACGGGCTATATTATATGTTGATGGAAACAAATACCGGCTATATTATATATTGATGGAAACAAATACCGGCTATATTATATATTGATGGTTACAAATACCGGCTATATTATATATTGATGGAAACAAATACCGGCTATATTATATGTTGATGGAAACAAATACGGGCTATATTATATATTGATGGAAACGAATACGGGTTTTATCATATATTGATGGAAACGAATACGGGTTTTATCATATATTGATGGAAACGAATACGGGTTTTATCATATATTGATGGAAACGAATAGAGATGATATTATACATTGATGGAAACAAAGACGGGCTATATTATATATTGATGGAAACAAATACGGGTTTTATCATATATTGATGGAAACGAATAGAGATGATATTATACATTGATGGAAACAAAGACGGGCTATATTATATGTTGATGAAAACAAATACGGGTTTTCTCATATATTGATGGAAACGAATAGAGATGATATTATACATTGATGGAAACAAATACGGGCTATATTATATATTGATGGAAACGAATACGGGTTTTATCATAAACTGAACGCCAAAAAAATGTTACACCTCTGAACATTAGAATATCCTAAAATGCTTAATGGATAGAAGACTTTGGTTTGGTATGTTTTAACAACCAATCATGTAACTCTATTGAGTCAAAACATCAGACTGAGGAAGTCATTGATAATTAGGATATCGACATGTTTGTTTAGGTGGGATCCATTGTCCTATTTTCAATCATGTAAAAATTCAAATCAAAAGTGTAAAAAACTGTTAAAAATGGGTCCACATGATATTGTTTATGATGATAATGCATGCACATTCACAAAGAGTGATGAAGTTGGGTTTTGAATATGAAAGAATGGTTGTTTACCGTAAAAAGGGACCCAATGCTGATATTGGATTTTTGTCTCTTTAAAACACATTCCAACCACTTGAGGTTTAATTTTTGGATCATCATGACTTTCGACTGTTTTAGGAAGAGTCGTCAAACGAGAAAAGACTAAGTTTTCCCTTAGATACTGTAAAATTGTGCCTATTTCTGTCCTTGTATAAGGAAGCATAACGCCAAAACGTACCCTTTGTAACTTCACCTTGCATGAAATGCACGTGAAAACTGTTCGAAACGGGTATATAAGGCCCCTAGATTGATCATTTCACACCATACAACCCTGCTGCGTACAGACGTGCACCCTGTTGCGTATAGACGTGCATCCTGTTGCGTACATACGTGCATCCTGTTGCGTACAGACGTGCACCCTGCTGCGTACAGACGTTTCAGGACCGTATGTCTTATTTATGTTTAGTGCACGTATATCCCTATTTCGATTTATTTAATCATTCATCGTTTTCATTTGACCCCATACGGACTGTAATGGGGCATCGACATTTCAACCAAAATAGCTCAGTCACTCTGGACGTCAATTTCTTTGCTAAACGGCGTTGATGTAAGAGCTCGAGTTTTACTGATAATGTTTACTAAATACAATCCATTGTCACTCAATTGTATTTGGACGATTGTGCACTTTTTCCTACACAATGACTACCAAGTTGATGAATATATTCCGATAATGTATCCTCGCTTAGTGTTACTGTGTAAGCGATGTATAGAACTCTTGTAACAATGGGCAACGGTTCTTAGTATGATGCTTTAAGACATACAGTCAAATCCCGATGAGTCGAATGCCGGTGTCTCGAATATAATGCATAACACGAAGTACCTGTCGGTCCCGACCATTCCCTGCTGTTTTTGTCATCATTTGAGTTCCGGTGACACGAATTCGTCTCATAAATACACACGATGACTCGAAATGGAAATTTGGTCCCCTTGAGATTCAAACAATAGTAATCTTTGTATACATAAGCCGAAGTCAGTCAATGAGAAGTTATTTGGTGATCCAACTACATGTAACTGATCCAATTAACAAACCAGCGCGGCTCGCACCATTCCGCTATTGTCGGGTGAGTTCAAAAGGCAGATTAGTGATTTTACGGAAGCGAAAGGATTAGCACATGACATTGAGTTAACTCAATCAAATCGGTTGCGTTATATAGCAGCTTTCATTCGGTTATTACTATTCATGATCTGTACATCATGGCGGAGTTACAATGTTCCCAGCAATCTGGGGGGGATAAACCGATCGGAAACATCAACTCCAAAACGGAAGCGCATTCTAAAAGTGCACACTATTGACAAGAAGTTTGCAGCGATCACTGCAGTGGAGGCAGGTTCCAAATCCAAGAGTGAAATTGCGAGAGAGTTTGAAATTCCGCCTAACACTCTTTCTACTTGGTTGAAAATGGCAGATAAGATTAAAGAATCCATGTTACAGTCAGGTGCAAAACGTCGTAGGTTAAAGGAGGCTAAGTTTCCTGAACTTGAGGAAGCACTACTCAAATGGTTCAAGATAGCGCGGGACCAAAATGTCCCAATTAATGGTCCATGTCTATGCCGAAAAGCAATAGAACTAGCAACGCAACTTGGTATAACAGATTTTGTTGCCAGTACCGGATGGCTGAATCGGTATAAAGAGAGAAATGACATTCTTTTCAAAGCTGTTTGTGGGGAATCAAAATCTGTAGATAATGATTCTCAAGCTATGAATGACTGGGCAAAATCCTTACAACAAGTGTTACAGAAGTTTGAGCCAGATTGCATTGACAATGCTGATGAGACAGGAATGTTCTACCGTCTTTTGCCTAACAAAACTCTTGAGTTCAGAGGTGTCAAATGTCACGGTGGTAAACAATCAAAGGAACGCCTAACTGTGCTTGTCTGTGCTAATCAAACTGGAACTGATAAGGTGCCCTTATTAGTGATAGGGAAATCTGCTAAGCCGCGTTGCTTTAAGAACGTCAAATCTCTGCCGACTTCATATTGTAACAACAAGTCTGCCTGGATGACGTCTGGTTTATTTTGTGATTGGGTAAAATCATTAGATAAACAAATGATTAGACGGAAGAAGAAGATTGCTCTCATTTTAGACAACTGCCCTGCTCACCCGAAAGTCAAAGGTCTCACAAACATTACTCTTGTGTTCCTTCCACCAAACACAACTTCTAAAACGCAGCCAATGGACCAAGGTGTCATCAATAATCTGAAGGTCCACTACAGGAATGCAGCTCTTGACCGTTACATAGAAGCCATCAACGACAGTAAACAATGTGTAATCACAGTGCTTGATGCCATGCGTATGTTACGACATGCTTGGCAGAAAGTAAAGCCAGTAACAATCTCCAACTGCTACCGCCACGATGGATTCGTTCTGACAGAAGCCGCATCTCCCGACGCCCCATGTGAATCTGACGATGAAGATGACATCCCCCTAGCCAGATTACTTCCAGGTGATGTGACTTTGGCCGACTATGTAAGTGTCGATGACAACATTGAAACATGTGCCCCTTCATCTGATGCCGACATCATCGAGTCATTGCTTGGTCCCAGGACCTGTCACAACGACGACTCGTCTGATGATGAAGACGAGACACACCCTGCCGTCAAACCACCACCATCCGTATCGGAAGCGATAAAGTTCTGTGAAGGACTGGAGTATTTGGAATCATTGAGGCAACCGTAACATTCAACTGTATGCAAAATATTTAGAATTTCAGCAGGTAGCACGAAGTGGTGTTATTCTGACTGTCGAAATCAATTGAACATATACTGAACAACATTAGAAACACACCACACTAAAATGCACCGATGATGCTCAGATATCATGGTGCATTTCAGTCTGACGGGGATACTTCGTATTATATGGGTGGTGCGTTTCTAATGTTGTTCAGTGTACATTAATTTATGTTATTGTGGAATGAAAAACATCAAAAGCTTAGCCTTTCACGAGGGACTTGTTCTTTCAATCGAAGACCTCGCTGCGAGACGCTGCGCGTGGATCTGAAAGTTTACCCTATATCCTGCAAGGGATCCGCGTTCGAACCCCGAAGTATGTCTGGTTAGAATAGGAAACGGATGACTTAAGTATTTCTTACACAAAAAAACTCAACGTTTTTTTTAAAAATCGATACCTATCGCACCAGGATTTATCTACCCGTAAAAAAACGAACCATTCAAGGTCAAGTTTGCCGACGAGTTACACCAATATTACTACAAGAAGGATTTTGTAATAATATGTTTGAAAGAACGTTACATTTACATATCATAAATACATCAACTACACGTCCTCGTTGTAACGACCCGTGAAGATCCGGGGTAGAATAGATCTTCAGCAACCCATGTGCTTGCCATAAAAGGCGACTATGCTTGTCGTAAAAGGCGACTAACGGGATCGGGTGGTCAGTTTCGCTGACTTGGTTGACACATGTCAATGGTTCCCAATTGCGCAGATCGATGCTCATGCTGTTGATCACTGGATTGTCTGGTCCAGACTCGATTATTTACAGACCGCCGCCATATAGCTGGGATATTGCTGAGTGCGGCGTAAAACTAAACTCACTCACTCACTCCTCGCTGTAACATCCACTCCAACAACCTAAGGATATCTTTTGGTTTGTTTTCTTTGCTGTTTAACGCCACTCTCAGTAATATTCCAGTTATATGGTGGCGGTCTGTAAATAGTAAAGTCTGGACTAGAAAATCATGTGATCAACATCATGAGCATCGATCTACACAATTGGGACACAATGACATGTGGTCAACCAAGTCAGCGAGTCTGACCACCCGATCCCGCTAATCGCTTCATACGATATGCATGGGTTACAAATCACCAATTCTAACCCGGATCTTCAAGGGTCCCCTGTGAAACTTGGGTTGGGGCTGCAATGTAGATGTATTGAGTGGGTTTATTGAATGATAAATAATTATCTAGATCGATGTATTGTCACTGATGTTGATGTTCTGCTTGTTAAGTATATTTTATGTTTTCAGAATACCAAACATGCTTGTGCCAGTCAGCCGTGTGCCCCTAATGAAATCTGCATCCCTGTGAGAGCGGCGACCGCTCATATATGTCTGCCAGCATGTAAGTATGTCGCATGTTGAGCTGTGTACAGCAAACCCCGTTAGTCCGGGAACCTCTCATTCCAAACAGCGAATAACCATAATTATTGCCGATATATTTTAATAAATCTCAAAATTAGCTAAATTAAGTTGAAGTGAGTTGAATTTTGTGTCATGATAATATAGACATACTTCCAGTCATTACTACCTCCAAAACATGAATTTTGAGCAAAAGTAAATATTCTCGCCAATGGGCGGGGAATGTTCGAAAAATATTTTTTCATTTTATCATCCTTAGCATGTATTCATAATAAATGCTTGTTGAATTTTGTCAAATCCTTTGTCAGGAACTGGCCAAAGCGGGAAAGTTTCTGGACTTTTGGGTTTCAAGAATTAGATCGTGACGAGTTATACCAGGGAGACTATATGTTGTAGAGTATCCCTGGTTATACTCACTCTTGTTCTCGCTCACTGCCAAGTCGCTTCCTCTTGAACGACGTTAGACCAGCAACCTTGGTCTTTATTCTTGTGTATATATCATGTGAAGAGAATCTAACTATTTGTTTATATTACAGCCTCAATAACATCTGTGTCTAGGAGACACGTCAACTAATTAGGGATGTTAGTCAACATAGCACAAAAAGGTTCTGAGCATATGTGCAATATTTCTTAAAATACCTAGGCCATGTTTGCTGAACATTTTTTTGACAAAATAATGCCTGTTTGCTATACAAATATTGAATGGAGGTTCTCGCTTATTAAAATCACGTTACGACTGAAAAATACACAAAATTAACTGTCAGTGTTGTGAATCATGTGTTGGTTCATAGAAATGAATTGCTAATAAAATATTAAACAGATCGTGCATTGAAACCAGTGTATGAAACAGATAGTTTAATCAATAAAAAAACACGTGCTCTAAGTACAAAAAATATATTTGACTTGCCTCGTCTGAAAGGAAAATTGTGTTGAAATTGTCTGCAATTCAGTTAACATGTTTTTTGCATGAAGAGTACTTAATTAAAAGAAACGTAATACAGATATAAACAAAAACGAATATTTTTTAATGAAGGCAAATAAAAGACAGAAATCTCGAAATCACCAATCTTCTCAAAACAGTTTCGTACAGAATCTGGCTTCATTTTGAATTTTTTAAATAAAAATAGTAAAATACAGACAAACGAAATAACCAACTTTTCTTTCCTGTGGAAATTCAGAACAGGTTAATAGAAGTATCCCCAAACATATTCATGTAAAATGCCAGATTCATTGTGATCATGTTTCCAGATTTTTCCAATACTATCTCCATCCTTGCGGATACACCAGAGTAGTAAACGAGTGAGGCCTGATGGCATAGGGCGTTCTTACAACACGGAGCTAACACTGGCACTAACAGACTAATCTCTATACCAATCTCACTCACTCATTCAATACTTGTTGTTAGAGGCGACTAACGGGATCGGGTGGTCAGACTCGCTGATTTGGTTGACACATGTCATCGTATCCCAGTTGCGTAGATCGATGCACATGCTGTTGATCATTGGATTGTCTGGTCTGGACTCGATTATTTACAGACAACCGCAATAGCTTGAATATTGCTGAGTGCGGCGTTAAACTAAACTCATTCACTCACTAATTCAGTAAGATAAGTGAGTGTTTATGGTTTTGCGCCGCTTTTTGCAATATTCCAGCCATAATTGGGTACACTCTTTGAACCCATGTGAGGAATCGATCGACGCGAACTAGGCAGCTAGGGCGTGAGTGATGAAGGCCTTACCTGTTTTTAGCAATATTTCAGCAATATCACGGCGGGGGACACCGGAAATGGACTTCACACATTGTACCCATGTGGGGAATCGAACCCGGGTCTTTTGTGTGACGAAAGGACACTTTACCCATTTGGCTACCCCAGCGCACCAACCACTAAAAACCACACCGCAAACATACAGATGAATGTATCCTGAAGGCATCATTTCATTATTTATATATTGATGTCAAATAAACTTCACAGTTAAGATTGACGGAGGCTTGACCAACTGGACAGTGACAGATGAAGGGACTTGTCCAGTGGATTGCGGGGGCGGTATACTGACGGTGATTAAAACAGAACGTGTACTGATCCTCGCCCCTACAATGGCGGACGGCCGTGCTCCGGACCTCTCTCAACAACGGAAACATACACCTGCAAAACACATCGATGTCCAGGTGAGTACGCTATTTGATAACCTAGGCCCTCTCGCCATAGAAACATACACCTGCAATACGCATCGATGTCCAGGTAAGTACGCTATTTGACACCTAGGCCCACTCAACTTAGAAACATACAACTGCAATACACATCGTTGTCCGGGTGAGTACGCTATTTGACACCTAGGCCCTCTCAACATAGAAACATACACCTGCAACACACATCGATGTCCAGGTTAGTACGCTATTTGACACCAAGGCCCTCTCGCCATAGAAACATACACCTGCAATACACATCGATGTCCAGGTTAGTACGCTATTTGACACCTAGGCCCACTCAACTTAGAAACATACACCTGCATCACACATCGATGTCCGTTTGAGTACGCTATTTGACACCAGGCCCTCTCAAGATGGAAACATACACCTGTAATACTCATCGATGTCCGTTTGAGTACGCTATTTGACACCAAGGCCCTCTCAACATAGAAACATACACCTGCAATACTCATCGATGTCCGTTTGAGTACGCTATTTGACACCAAAGCCCTCTCAAGATGGAAACATACACCTGCAATACACGTCGATGTCTGGGTGAATACGCTATTTGACACCAAAGCCCACCGAAGATGGAAACATACACCTGCAATACAGATCGATGTCTTGGTGAGTACGGTATTTGACACCTAGGCCCTCTCAACATAGAAACATACACCTTCAACACTCATCGATGTCCGGGTGAGTACGCTTTTTGACACCACGGCCTTCTCAACATAGAAACATACACCTGCAATACACATCGATGAGCATGTGAGTACGCTATTTGACACCAATGCCCTCTCAAGATGGAAACATACATTTACAATACACATCGATGTCCAGGTGAGTATGTTATGGTACACCTATTCCCCCTCAACAACGAAAACAAACACCCGCAATACACATCATTGTCGGCTATGTACACAATAGTACATGTACAATACACATCATTGTCGGCTATGTACACCATAGTACATCTACAATACACATCATTGTCGGCTATGTACACCATGGTACATGTAGAATACACACCAATGTCGGGTGAATACACAATAGTACACCTATTCCCCTCAGCATGAAAACATACACCCGCAATACAGATCATTGTGGGGTAAGTACACCATAGCACATCTACAATACACATCATTGTCGGGTAAGTACATTATTGTGCACCTATTCGCCCTCAACATGAAAACACACACCTGCACTACACACCGATGTCCGGATGAGTACACTACGTATCCTCAGGGATACTCTACAACAGGGATAGGTCACTCGCTTGCTTTCTTTACCATTTGTACTAATTAACGTGTGCCTCGTCATGCTCCAACGCACACAGTGACTTGGTTCGGTCCAAGCGCAACTTCGGCTGCGTTTAACAGTACTTCAGCCAGTGTATTGTATAGGTCGGAATTTTACAATGAATGAATGAATGAATTAAGAGCAAGAATTTTATGTGAATGAATGAAAGAAATTTAGAAAAAGAACAAAAGAAAAAGAACATATGTGAATGAATGAAAGAATAAATGATACACCACGGCCATCCCTCCCCAAACATGTTAAAGAACGCAAAACTATCGGTAGAACACATGTTAACATCAGCTGTCCTTTTTATAAAAATGTCTTCTTTGAGACATTTTTTTACATTAGTAACTAATTCAGATATCTTATTGCATGTGTGGAATGACATGGGCATTGACAGAATGTTAACTGACACTGTCAAAGACCCCTCAAGAACAGAAAGTTTAGAACTATCACAAAGCCTTGCAAACACCTTTCCAGTTTTGTCAAATACTAAGATCAACAAGAAAGAAAGAAGTTTTAGAACTATAACACTCAAGCATCACAAGCACCAATGGCGTATCAGAACAGATCGGCGATATGTCATATTTTTCACACACCTCAAATACACACTAACAAAAAATAAATAAAACTATCACTATTACTTGCAAAAACTTTCACCTGATGGTATATTCCCCTCATAAAAATTAAAGGTGTATGTGAAAGATGTTTTAGAACAATAACTAGAAACACTCAAACAACGCCCTGTAGTATTTCAATGGCAGATCGGCGATATGTCATATTTTTCACACACCTCAAATACACACTAACATTTTTTTAAATTATAAAACTATTACTATTACTTGCAAACACCTTTCACCTGATGGTATATCCCCCTCATAAAAATTGAAAGTGTATGTGAAAGTTGTTTTTGAACACTAACTAGAAACACTCAAACAACGCCCTGTAGTATTTCAATGTCAGATCGGCGATATGTCATATTTTTCACACACCTCAAATACACGCTAACAAATTTTTTTTAGTTATAAAAATATCACTATTACTTGCAAACACCTTTTAACAAAAGGTATATTTCCCTTCTAAAAATTAAACGAATATGTGAAAGAAGTTTTTAGCGATATAAGTTAGTCTTTCTTCGCTGTGTACTGAGAATTGAAGCCAGTGAGCTACAACATGCCCACTTGAAACTTTACTACAAAGCTACTGTACTTATACTGACACTAATAACAAGTATTTGACTTAAAATGAAGTGACAGAATAGGTAACTTATCTTCTACATGTAGGTTTTCAGTTGTCACAACACTCAGCGTATGTAATCAGCTGTTGAAAATAAACCGGGCTCAATCTTAAAAAACTACGCTGTCGCCATATTGGCTGCACTGGTCACGTGACGAGCCGAGGCATAGCTTAGGAGCTTTCCGAGGAGTGACCACTCCCCCTTATAGAGTCTCCCTGGTATCCTGTACAAGATGTATCCTGTATTAGGATCAAGCACTATATATTTAGTTCGACACAGATTGCTCACAATACTGTTTATTCCTCACACACGATATTTACCGTTCGAAAACACACTCCGTCAAAAAACACATGCAGAGGAACGTCAAGTGTTTACACGAAGAAGCTGGTCGATATTGGAGTTAATGCAAGTTAAACTCAATCCACTAACGTGGAGTTTGTGTGGTATGGTACGATGTTTATGTTTATTTCACGTGCACCTTGTATTTTCAGTAAATGGCGGATGGTCTCCGTGGGTAGTGAGGTCAATCGGCACATGCACTCGGTCGTGCGGTGGAGGTACTCGGTTTGTGACCTCGAGACGGAGATGTAACAAGCCGAAACCAAGGTTCAACGGTACAGATTGTGCTGGAGATATTAAAGAAATTGCCGAAGAGGCCTGCAATTCCCAGGCCTGTACACGTACGTACTGTATATATTATATTTTCTTAAACCCCAAATTTCATCAGCAACCACACGGTGAGACACCGGATGTGCACGAGTCTGCACCAGCGGCACACTCCGACACAGCGATGACTTAACATAACATCACTGCCACAGGCTAATTTGCATATCACGTGACCGGACTTTTCTCTTGTTTGTAACCAAACGCGCATATTCATTCAAGAAGAGACTGGACTCACGAAAGCTTTTCGGCGCTCTCTTCATAATGTTTTACATTGTTACATATATATTCTTCCACAACTGCGACAGTTAGGTCTATGACAGTACATATTTAGATATCAAACTCAACAAACTGGCGGCATCGTTTGCTCTCCGTCAGCTACGATGACAGCACGTTGAGCCGTACAACCTATGTAAACAAAGGATCGCTACGCAAATCGAAATAGTGTTACATGTTTTTGGATATTTTCTCAGTGAAACTAATTCATTCTATTAAAGATGTTTAGTTAGATGTGTAGACTCGTCAAAAATAAAGAGTAAAAGAAATCTGTACATTATATTGAATGGACGGTGCAAGATGTGACGAATCGTCACATTTTTGTGGCCTGTGGCAGAGGTACTATGCTGGCTTGCCGCATGGAACTCTGGGTAGGAGAGTGCACCAGCGGTTGATATTATGAAGAACGTCCCACACCGGCAGCACACGATGACGACCCAAACCTTGCCAAACTGAATACTTTGTCGGACCAAACTTTGTTTATTGGGAGGGATAACTAAACAAGATTTGCCTTGTAGTTTTTTTAAAATTTTGTTTGTTTGTTTATGTACATGCTAATGAAGTGAGTGAGTGAGTTTAGTTTTACGCCGCTTTTAGCAACATTCTAGCAATATCACGGCGGGGGACACCAGAAATGGGCTTCACACATTGTACCCGTGTGGGGAATCGAACCCGGATCTTCGGCGTGACGAACGAACACTTTAACCACTAGGCTACCCACCGCCCCGTATATGCCAATGGGCAGCAATGGTTGGAAATTACTTTTATCATCCAAAACTGTGTTCCACAGGAGATATCGCTTGTGTGATCTCCTAGGAGATATCGTTTTGACAGTAGATTTTGTACAATGCCCTGACAATGCTATGACGTCATGTACTTGATGACGTCACAATGCTATGACATCGCTGCACTGCAAGTCAAATGGCAGTACAATGTTCAGAGATGTACATTTGTCATTGAAAATTAATGAAGAGTGATTTTTGATGATAAATAGAATCTCACCCTCGTGTCTTCTGATATCAAATATATCAACACTCGTTGATAAAGTAAAAATATCCTCGGCAAGCCTCGGATATTTGTAACTTTATCAACTCGTGATGATATAATTGATATCAGAAGACACTTGGGTGAGATTCTCTATTTATATAAGTGCGTTTTTTAATTATATATACTGTTTTTATTGTTCCCAAGGGTACATCATTAAAACACCAATTCACATTTTGTTGAGTTTGTTAGATAGAGTTAAAAAATACACCTAAATCCACATTTTCACATCAAAATAACGTACCGAATATAGAGTCTATTTTCATTGTTAGGTTGGGAATATAGATCTCCATTTTGTGTCAAGACTTTAGAGGCTATTATTTTTAATTGCAATAAACTTTTCCACATTGAAAACATGAACTTTTGAAGTTCTGGAGTGTGTTGGTTAATCCCACATAAATGGATATTATTTTGGGCAGTTAGGATAATATGGTTTAATAATCTATCTGTGTATAATGTTCCAAACCAAACAAGATATTTTGTTATTTTAGTTGTGTTCTCCATATGATTATTCATCCAAACTTCAAGTTCATTCCAGAATGTTTGTGTTTCTCTACATTCCCAATAAAACATGACAAATATACTCATTCAGCTCATTACAACAACAGCAAACAGAATTGTCTACAAATTTCATTTTAAATAGTTCATTTTTAGTATAGATAATACCATGTAAAAACTTGTATTGGAAATCAAGTACTTTGATACTTTTCAAACCATTATTTTAAGACGTAAAAATCTGATTCCAATCAAAAGTAACATTAGCTAAAGATTCTTGCCATTTAAGACAATATAAGTGCATTGTTATTATCATGTATCATTTTTGGATGGTCGATCACTCTTCAGTTTGTGATATACCAACCACATGACAAGAATGAGGATTATTTTTATGGATGTACAACTTCTTTATTCTGTATAGGCGACGTTTCGACATAGATTGTAATGTCGTTGTGGTACATGGGAAGTATTTTTGGGTGATATATATACATGAGATGTTTGTACAATAGATGAGGGATGAGGCGAAAATGAGTTGTTTATACAATAGAATAGGTTGATAACACAGGATTAAGTAGGTTGATAGGAAGCCAGTAAAGAACCACACAATCCAGTGACTGAAACAAAGAGAATCTATCTACGCAATTGGGATACGACCAAGTCAGGGGTGGATGCGTTACATGTCTCAGATGAAGTTTGTTTTTGTTTCCTCGGACCGGTTCCAGATTGTAAACCAAAGAAATGCTCCAAGTTATTAAAAGTGACAAAATAAAAGAAAACAATTTTGTTGGCGGAATTGTATTCGGCGTCACGACAGTCATCATTTGTTTGTAAACATAACGTGCTTACATGATATAGGACCGCCAAGCACAGAATAGAAAGACCCGGGTTAGATCTTTAGCTACCCATGCTTGTCGTAAGAGGCAACTAACGGGATCGGGTGGTCAGACTCGCTGACTTGGTTGACACATGTCATCGTATCCCAGTTGCGTACATCGATGCACATGCTGATCACTGGATTATCTTGTCCATACTCGATTATTTTTAGACCAACGCCATTTAGCTTCCATATGCCCGAGTGTTGCGTTAAACAAGGGCTGAAGCGCAAATGGGCTATCGCTGTGAGGAGCTTGCTGTTACGCATCCATGAGGACATCCATCCATCACGTATAATTCCTTTTCTGGCCTGAAATTTAATTTTGAATAATGATATCTTTCCTCTTTCAGCTAATACTGATGGTTCATGGACAGACTGGGCAGTGGTGGAGGAGGGAGACTGTTCAGTCACGTGCGGGGGCGGGTCACAGGTCAACAAGAAAGAACGCTACTGTGACAGTCCAGTACCAACGGGCACTGGCCAGAAGTGTTTGCAAAGGTAGATCCACATATTTTCTCATTACCCTAACCATGGGCTGTGGATTCACTTTGTGAAAGCGTTCGCTGGTCAAGCGAGCGGGGGCGGTGGGGTAGCCTAGTGGTTAAAGCGTTGGCTCGTCACGACGAAGACCCGGGTTCGATTCCCCACATGGGCACAATGTGTGAAGCCCATTTCTGGTGTCCCCCGCCGTGATATTGCTGGAATATTGCTAAAAGCGGCGCAAAACTAAACTCAGTCAGTCAGTCAGTCACGCGAACGAGTGAGTGAGTGGTTTTACGCCGCGTTTAGCACACCCACACCAATGTGGGGAATCAAACCCGGAACTTCAGTGTGACGAAGATGCTTTAACCATCCACTACCCCGTCCCACCGTCGTCAAGGGAAATGTCCGGTTCCATCACAGAAATCCTGTCCCATCTTTTACGACTCAACGGCGTAATACATATGGCTTTACTACACAGTGACTTTCAAAAACTTATTTCATTTTGAAGAGCTATTTTGTGACATTCAAAGCGTCATATTATTAAAGAGGCGGTGGGGTAGCCTAATGGTTAAAGCTTTGGCTCGTCACGCCGAAGACCCGGGTTCGAATCCCCAAATGGGCACAATGTGTGAAGCCAATTTCTGGTGTCCCCCGCCGTGATGTTGCTAGAATAATGCTAAAAGCGGCGTAAAACCAAACTCAGTCGGTCAGTCAGTCATATTATTAAATGAATGCCCCATTGTGGATTAAATGATGTTGGAGAGACAACTTGATTTACGGACACAAACAAGCCAGCATAGATTGAGAATCAACATAAATGTTAACCAACATTCCAATTCTGACAATCACTTCATCTTTTGCATAAAAGGCTTATAGCAGTCGCCCTTATACAATATCCAGAGATACTGGGGGGGGGGAACCTATGGCTTTATGATGTATATATTTGTACATAATGGCAAGAAACGTCTTTCTTGATAAGGAACTGTCGACATCAGTGTTTCGAGTCTGTGTCCGACATTCCAAAGACGTGGTCAGAGTGAGTGAGTTTAGTTTTACGCCGCACTCAGCAATCAATATTCCAGCTATATGGCGAAGATCGTGGTCAGAAGGAGGGCGGCATGATACCAGCAATTTGGGTGATTTGTTGGCTCTCCTTCTCTAACCGCAAAGAGTGTACAACATCTAAAAAAGACTAATTGTCTATGTCATTGAACGGTTGAAGCATTTTGCTGAGGTATGGACCTACAAACAGCAAGAATCCACAATATCGACTTGAGCGTATAGTTCTGATATTGCTTTGAAACGTTTGGCCGAGCCATCAGACTCCACTTACTATGGCAAAGACTGCATTTCCCTAAATTCGAAACTGATGCCTATATTTAACTAACATCACAGACAAATATCAGTTTATAGAAATATCCATAAAAATACCACACTATTTGAAATCATGGAAAACCACCATCAATTTTCCAGTACGAACACCATTTCATCCAAGTTGTCCAGTTGAAGGAACGTGTTGCAGAATATGGACTTGGTAGTTCATGATGTACTTTCCACTGCTTGGGGCTGCCGAGACTCGCGATCCCGCTGTCAACCTGTAGATCATATAAGCGCATCATTTTGTTGCCACCAAATTCCGAACATGTTTTGTCGGGGAAAAAAAACCCTAAATATTATAAACACAAAATTTTCCGAATGATGTTCTTTCTGCTCATTTATTGTAATTCTTATTACAATTTCTCGCATTCTTTTGACTTAAGGCAGCGATTGATTAAAACATTTTAGATAGATAAACATTGTATATGACGAGGCGGTACGTTTTAAGTTCGAGAAGACGGTGTTGGAATGAAAAGAAAAAGGTTTTTTTGAGGGGTCGGCAATAAAATTAGAAGGGTCGGTCGGGCGATGAGAGACACAAAAAATAAAAATGCTGCCCTAAGCATAGGTGCCTTCTCCAACGTTCACAGTGTCAACCTTCGTCAGTTACCAATTTATCGTAAAAAGCCTCCAACCGCCTGCAAAACATGTATGGATGCATAGATACATACATACTTTCATACAAACACACACAGATTGTTCCATATCTAGTTTCAGAGGTTTAGGACAATATGTCAAAAGAATTGTCAAAGAAAACCCAAAGCAAACGGAAATGTTCTAAGGAAACAATATGTGAAAATCTGTACGTCCTCGCTGATAAAATCTACTTGAAATTTTGGGTTATGATATTTAATAAAAAAATAGGCATCCTCATGAGCACGAGATGTGCTACCCTTCTTTCAGGGTGCCGTTGTACAAAACAACCTTAGCGCTAAGGCTACCTTAAGTCTACGTTAAATGAATGGGAGTTACGGTAACCTTAGCGCTAAGATCGCTTTGTACAACGGCACCCACATGCATAGGAATCAGAAGTTATGTTCTGGTCGGCAAATTCAAAGCAAAGGAATTTGGCTAATACCTTTAACTTTGGTAAAGTTCACTTAAACCTATTCTGTTTTCAGTGATGGTCAGCGTACATTATTGGAGACAGGGCAGGATACTGTGACCTGCATGACGGATCCATGTCCAGGTATGACGACCTTCCCCCGGGGGTAAGATCTGCATAGTTAGTTGGTGAATGGGTTGATATGAGGTCCTCTTTTAGTTTTCTGACGACCTGTGAAGATACGGTTGGAATTGGTCTTCAGCAACCCACGCTTGTCGTAAGAGGCGAATAACACGATGAGGTGGTCAGGCTCGTTGACTTGGTTGAAACATGACATCGTATCCCAATTGCGTCGTTCTTAGGATGTCATTCACTGGATTTGTCTGGTCCAGAGACGAATATTTTCAGACCGCCATGACATAGCTTGAATAATGCCAACGTAAAACAACAAATAGACGAACGAGCTAAGAACACTCTCCAAAATGTGGCCCGTGAAGATCCGGGTTCGAATTGATCTTCAGCAACCCATGCTTGTCGTAAGAGGCGACTAACTGGGTCGGGTGGTCATGCTCGCTTCCTTGGTTGACACATGTCATCGTATCGATGCTCCTGAGGCTGATCACAGGATTGTCTGATTCAGACTCGATTATTTACAGACCGCCGCCATCTAGCTGGAATATTGCTGAGTGCGGCGAACCAATCGACCATCTCTAAAAGGTATTGTCGATTAACATTGACAAGTTAAGAGGTCGTTTCCTCTTGTAGTTATGTTATTATCACCACGGTGACACACACAAATATTTCTTGCAAAGTGTACCCACTTTAAAACTGAACCCCAATGAAAGTTACAAAAGTCCCAAGCTGCATGCTCTGCTATCGTTGGTACTAACTTATCTTCTTTCTCTCTGCTCAGTTGACGGAGGATGGAGCGCATGGACAGATGTGGACATTGACGGATGTTCCGTCACCTGTGGGGGAGGGTCTAAAAATCGGACTCGCCAGCGAGAATGTACAAACCCAGCGCCCTCTGATGGTGGGGAGTTCTGTCAAGGGGACGCAACTCTAATAGATGAACTGAACTGCAACACAGACGACTGTCCAGGTATGTTCCAGTGTAACGTCATGTGCGATTTAGGAGGGTTCGGGTGATCCTGGCACAGTCAGGCTGATAAGACTCATCATCAGCTCAGGTGCCCTTGCCCCCCTACATCCTGCACAGTCAGGCCTACACGCAGCCCAGAGAGAGGGTTCGGGTGATCCTGGCACAGTCAGGCTGATAAGCCTCATCATCAGCTCAGGTGCCCTTGCCCCCTCTACACGCAGCCCAGAGAGAGGGTTCGGGTGATCCTGGCACAGTCAGGCTGATAAGACTCATCATCAGCTCCCCTCAAAACACAGCCCTGACAGCGAATGAGACTTATCCCAGGAAGCGCAGCCTAGTCGAACCCGAACCCTGATGATGATGATGATGATGATGATGATGATCATCATCATCATTATCAGACATTGAGTTTGTGTAAACGCTGGGTATCCACTGACAAGGTGTTGGACAGTCTCATTAAATCCATTACATAACCTACAGTTCATATTTACATTTCGACGAAAAAAAAAAATCACATATTGACCGTTACGTTGAGTATGTGACTGGTCTTGAGCAGCAAACAGAAAGCCTTCTGTTTCCTTTTTTAGGCCAGCTTGAGTCACACATTCTCCCCATCCGATCCTTACTTGTCGCGTTATGCACAGACATGCCCGTCCCCAGGCATTAAGGATGATCATGAATAATCAAAAGGCTTTGCTTCGGCAAATATTTCGTTTGTCATACGCAAGATGTGGAGCAAACAGAGAGCTTTGTGCTTCGCTTTTCAATCCAGCCGACTGCATCAGAGCGATGCAGTCGGCAAGGTTGCTCTTTTATTGAAAGCAATGCACATTAGCTTCGGCACGATGATCACGATTCGCACTGACTACAGTCCTTGCAAGTGTTACGCCGTGGGCGTGGATTCACCAAACAATAACAATAATAATACTTATGAAATGTCTTGCTTGCATCCCGAGTACACTGTCGTCAGGCTCCCCATGGTTCTCGGTGCCCTTGGTTTGGTACCTCATGATCTCTTGGGGCAGTGCCCGGGTTCTCAACCGGGAGCACAGCCCTTGTGATACTCTGGGATAATGCAGAAGGCTGCAGTGTTGGGGAGTCTACATATTCTCCGGAAAATTCTTGCTTCCTGTTGGGTTCGACTAGGCAGAGTTTCCTGGGAGAAGTCCCATTCACTGTATGGGCTGCGTGTAGAGGGGGTAAGGGCCCTGAGCTGATGATGAGCCTTACCAGCCTGACTGTGCCAGGGTCACCCGAACCCTCTCTGCTGCATACTATCTTTAATCTGTAAAACATATTAATGGAAATTCCCGTCACAATATTCTGTAAACGGATGTTTACCACCATATATCATTGTGCCATGTATAGACGATTGCAATTATTATTCGATCTATACTGGATAACCTTTTACCACAATTATTTATTCCATAAGAGCGATAAACATGCTCAATTAATTATTCTAGGAATGAAGATAACATCTTTCCTTAAGTAATTTTTGAATAGATGGCTACACCTTGCATTTTAAATCAAGGTGTTGATATCGTGGAATGGCAAGGCATACAAGGAAGGTTGCCACATGACAGCATCGATTTCACGAAAATCGAATGTTGGCGTATTCTATCGGTGGTCCCCCGGGTAGATACGAGCACGTCAACACGCTGTTACTTATTGAAGATATGCGGAAACTGTGAGAGAGAAAGGCAGTTTATCGTGCATTACAAATGACAAACTGTAATTGATCAGTCACATGCACTGATTAACCGCTGCAATCACTAACTGACGTCAAACTGGCACCGATGCCGTCGGTTGTAAATAATTCTCCAGGGCAATATGCAATGTGACTTGTTGCCAGTGCGTTGCCTTGGTTACAGGCTAACATAAGCGATGGTATGCCGCGGAAAGCTGCCATGTTGCTGAAGTGTCTATCATAAGGGACTGGTATGCTGCAGATTTGATTTAAACTTTTCAGCGTGTAGGGTTGATTAAAGATCCAACATATGGGACTGGTATGTTGTAGATTTAGATTTGTCAGAGTGTAGGGTTGATTAAAGATCCAACATATGGGACTGGTATGTTGTAGATTTAGATTTGTCAGAGTGTAGGGTTGATTAAAGATCTAACATATGGGGCTGGTATGCTGTAGATTTAAACTTTTTTAAGTGGGTAGGGTTGATCAAAGATCTAACAGGGACTGGGATGCTGGTATGCTGTAGTAGATTTAAACTTGTCAGGGTGTAGGGTTGATTACAAAGATCTAACATATGGGACTGGTATGCTGTAGATTTAAACTTGTCAGGGTGTAGGGTTGATTAAAGATCTAACATACAGGGCTGGTATGCTGTAGATTTAAACTTTTCAGCGTGTAGGGTTGATTAAAGATCTAACATATGGGACTGGTATGGAGCAGATTTAAACATGTCAGGGTGTAGGGTTGATTAAAGATCTAGCAAACAGGGCTGGTATGCTGTAGATTTAAACTTTTCAGCGTGAAGGGTCGATTAAAGATCTAACATAAGGGACTGGTATGCTGTAGATTTAAACTTGTCAGGGTGTAGAGTTGATTACAGATCTAACATAAGGGACTGGTATGCTGTAGATTTACACTTGTCAGGGAGTAGGGTTGATTAAAGATCTAACATACAGGGCTGGTATGCTGTAGATTTAAACTTTTCATCGTGTAGGGTTGATTGCAGATCTAACATAAGGGACTGGTATGCTGTAGATTTACACTTGTCAGGGTGTAGGGTTGATTACAGATCTAACATATGGGACTGGTATGCTGTAGATTTAAACTTGTCAGGGTGTAGGGTTGATTAAAGATCTAACATGGGGCTGGTAGGCTGTAGATTTAAACTTGTCAGGGTGTAGGGTTGATTAAAGATCTAACATATGGGACTGGTATGGTGCAGATTTAAACATGTCGTGGTGTAGGGTTGATTAAAGATCTAACAAACAGGGCTGGTATGCTGTAGATTTAAAATTGTCATCGTGTAGGGTTGATTAAATATCTAACATAGGGCTGGTAGGCTGTAAATTTAGACTTGTCAGGGTGTAGGGTTGATTAAAGATCTAACATAAGGGACTGGTATGCTGTAGATTTAAACTTGTCAGGGTGTAGGGTTGATTGCAGATCTAACATAAGGGACTGGTATGCTGTAGATTTAAACTTTTCAGGGTGTAGGGTTGATTAAAGATCTAACATAAGGGGCTGATATGCTGTAGATTTAAATTTGTCAGGGTGTAGGGTTGATTAAAGATCTGACATAGGGGACTGGTATGCTGTAGATTTAAACTTGTCAGGGTGTAGGGTTGATTAAAGATCTAACATACGGAGCTGGTATGCTGTAGATTTAAACTTTTTAAGTGGGTAGGGTTGATCAAAGATCTAACATAAGGGACTGGTATGCTGTAGATTTACACTTGTCAGGGTGTAGGGTTGATTACAGATCTAACATATGGGACTGGTATGCTGTAGATTTAAACTTGTCAGGGTGTAGGGTTGATTAAAGATCTAACATACAGGGCTGGTATGCTGTAGATTTAAACTTTTCAGCGTGTAGGGTTGATTAAAGATCTAACATATGGGACTGGTATGGAGCAGATTTAAACTTGTCAGGGTGTAGGGTTGATTAAAGATCTAGCAAACAGGGCTGGTATGCTGTAGATTTAAACTTTTCAGCGTGAAGGGTCGATTAAAGATCTAACATAAGGGACTGGTATGCTGTAGATTTAAACTTGTCAGGGTGTAGAGTTGATTACAGATCTAACATAAGGGACTGGTATGCTGTAGATTTACACTTGTCAGGGTGTAGGGTTGATTAAAGATCTAACATACAGGGCTGGTATGCTGTAGATTTAAACTTTTCATCGTGTAGGGTTGATTGCAGATCTAACATAAGGGACTGGTATGCTGTAGATTTACACTTGTCAGGGTGTAGGGTTGATTACAGATCTAACATATGGGACTGGTATGCTGTAGATTTACACTTGTCAGGGTGTAGGGTTGATTAAAGATCTAACATATGGGACTGGTAGGCTGTAGATTTAAACTTGTCAGGGTGTAGGGTTGATTAAAGATCTAGCAAACAGGGCTGGTATGCTGTAGATTTAAATTTGTCAGGGTGTAGGGTTGATTAAAGATCTGACATATGGGACTGGTATGCTGTAGATTTAAACTTGTCAGGGTGTAGGGTTGATTAAAGATCTAACATACGGAGCTGGTATGCTGTAGATTTAAACTTTTCAGCGTGAAGAGTCGATTAAAGATCTAACATAAGGGACTGGTATGCTGTAGATTTAAACTTGTCAGGGTGTAGGGTTGATTAAAGATTTAACATACGGGGTTGGTATGCTGTAGATTTAAACTTTTCAGCATGTAGGGTTGATTAAAGATCTAACATAAGGGACTGGTATGCTGTAAATTAAAACTTGTCATCGTGTAGGGTTGATTGCAGATCTAACATAAGGGACTGATATGCTGCAGGTTTAGACTTGTCAGGGTGTAGGGATGATTAAAGATCTAACATACGGGGCTGATATGAAGCAGCTTTAAACTTGTCATCGTGTAGGGTTGATCAAAGATCTAACATAAGGGACTGGTATGCTGTAGATTGAGACTTGTCAGGGTGTAGGGTTGATTAAAAATCTAACATACGGGGCTGGTATGCTGTAGCTTTATACTTGTCAGGGTGTAGGGTTGATTAAAGATCTAACATAAGGGACTGGTATGCTGTAAATTTAAACTTGTGAGGGTGTAGGGTTGATTAAAGATCAAACATATGGGACTGGTATGCTGTAGATTTAGACTTGTCAGCGTGTAGGGTTGAGTAAAGATCTAACATATGGGACTGGTATGCTGTAGATTTAGACTTGTCAGAGTGTAGGGTTGATTAAAGATCTAACATACGGGGCTGGTATGCTGTAGATTTAAACATGTCATGGTGTAGGGTTGATTAAAGATCTAAGATAAGGGACTGGTATGCTGTAAATTAGAACTTGTC